CCCCCTATAACACTGTTGATTATTCCGTTTTATATGAATTCCATGTTGTACGAGTCACTTAGATTTTACAAATACGTGAGCCGTTCACAGTCCAGCACACGTATTTGTAAAATCTAAGTGACTCGTACAACATGGAATTCATATAAAACGGAATTATTAACAGTGCTATAGGGGGGTCGACTGGTTATTAAGTTTTGGTGCGACGTCCTCGATCTGTCTCTATATCTTCTGGTATGAGCAATTTTAGAAAAGAAAAAAAAATGTTTGTTTTCTGTGTGCCAGGTAGCCCTAATTCTGTAAGCGGAAGCAATGATAAATGAACGAGTTGCTAACGATAAATTTGGAAAGTTTAACCTCTGCTGTTTACAAATTTTTCCTTGAATGATGAAGGGGATCAGCTTGCGTTCAGAAAAAAAAAGTTAACTGAGAATGTAGGATGAAATTAGCTCTTGCTCGTGTCCCGACCCACCCATAAATGCCGGTAACACTCGTAAGTTACAGGTGAACCCACATTATACCATTCAATTCATTAATATTTTATCTAAATTAGAAAAGGAAAGTGAATGAACACGGATCGACTGTTTGGATTATATAAAGAAGCGCTTATTTTTCCTGTTTTGTCTCAGACGAAAATAGAAATTACCCAACCACGCTCATCAGTACAGGGCACGAGTTTTCTTTTATCCAGTTGTCTATATCTGGGTCTTATGGCATTCTTTTATATCGTTATAACGCATACTCGAATTAAGTGCTTGGAGGTGAAAGTTTGATCTTAAGTCGTGCTCGTTTTCTGAAGATTTTAACACGAGAAAACAATAAAAAAGCGGAGGTGTATTCATTTTTATACGCTACAAAATCACAGATGAAACTAATTTTACAATTTAGAGTGATTTAATTTCACATTTAAAGAGTTAAATCGAAGCAAATTGAGGAGAATTGCGGTTAACTCGATGGACGAAAACGACGGAGAACCAAGTTTCTCTGACGGAATTGGATTTTTTTTTATGTGTAGAATATTGAAAGGGAGGAGTTAAAAATCAGAATTAAATAAATAATTCATATCAAACGATGGAATAAATAAACCAATGTCGTAAACATCTTTCGCAAGGAGATGTTTGCTTTTCTTTCTTATAACTTCTTTCGACGCTGAAAATAGTCTGACGAAAAAGAAAAAAAAAACAACCTTTTTCTTTCCATTAGCGACAAGAAAAATGAATTAAATATTACGGATACACATCAATAAATTACTTTAGCACACTAAGTTAAAAGTTTTATGATTTAAATTTAAATACGTATAAATATTTTATGAAGTGATTACATTATCAGATGTGTGATGCCCGCTCCACCCAAATGGCTTATAACGAGATTTCCAATGAGGAGAATGTATTCCGACCAAGTTTTCTTTAAAGAATTAAAAAGAGAATTAAAGGCTAGCTAAAAAATATAATGGGCTGAAGATTGCGCTTTGGTGCAATCTTAACTTTGATGGAATGCAAAGACAAAAGCCAAAGAACTCGAGGAATTTTTTAAAATGGAGAAAACAGCGTTGAATCTATGGGCAATAGCTTAAATATGGGCAAAATGTTTAGTTAATCTATGAGAGAATACAGGCCTATATATAAAAATTTGAAGTGTTTGGTCTTCCGGATGGATTTCGTAACGGTTCGACTCACTCGGTGCCATCTTGTGACGGTTTCGGACATAAATCGATCCATTCATCCCCGTGGGTTCGTCCCCATGAGTGAAAAATAGGAGGGAAAGGAAGAATACTTACATACGAAGTCATGTACGACATCGCACAGGGTACAGCGTGCCTGGCGTGACATTTGTCAGTCAGTAACCGAGCAACCTTTGGCAGATATCCACAGTCAGCGATGCTAATCCAACAAGGTTGCGTGGGAGGATGAGGGAGAGTGTCGCTATGGCAACCATTGTGCACATCTCCGTCTATTTATAGGAGGAGGATTATTGGTCAGCCTATTAGCGTATCGAGAAACGCCCATCCTCCAAAAAGTATTCCATCATTTCCCGCCAACTGTCTTTCATTCTACGAATACGTCAACTTTGTGCCCTTAATTGAATTTGCATACTCTTAAAATTCCGCATCTTCAATTACATCGAGTGTCAAATTCTCGCTTCTTAATCACTACATACCTTTAATTTAAGTATAGTTTAGCCTATATAAATTTTGAAAAGGCGGGCGGAATCTCACATTCTCGTAGCAATTCTAAAGAATTCTCTGCTGGACAGAATGAATACCTTAACTAATGAGATGAAAGGAGTCGTCTTTGACTTATTTTATGGGCAAATTTTACTAGACACGAGCCTTTACAATACTCGAATCTCTCTCAACTCAAAGCATGGGCACTCGCGGTCACTCAGGAGTACCCACACCTTCAAGAATATGCATTGCGTAGGGATGCAATGCATATTCTTGAAGGGTTTACATAGGGTATATATAGGGTTACAGTTGTATTTTTACATAGGGCTGTGCATTTCTATACATGTAGCGATTTTAAGTAGTATAAAGCAGCGATTCTCAACCTTTGTTTTTTACTCGCGACTCCTTGATCCTTCTCGCTTACCTCCAGTGGTACGCGTACCACTGTTTGATAGCTGCTAGTATAGAGAGATTCACGTGCATTTTATGTAGCCTGCATTTTTACATAGTGATTCATTCACGTTGGAAAAAGTAGATAGAAGACTGGCAATTTCCTGCTTTAGGAAAGAATTGATACCCTCTTAATGATCCGATTTTAAAAAAATTACATAACGCCATCTGATATCGTGCATACCGCTGTTTTTGCCGGAAGGAAATAACACCGGCTTCGGCCAATCGGGCGCCGAAAACATACCCACTTGTGACGTCACCAGCGACTATCCTCGTCCTCTCCATTAACCGTGCATGTGCGTAGAAAGCGCTCAATTAACTTTCAGGTAATTTTCCTCCTTTTACTCGAAGTTTTCGTTCTATTGAAAGGTGTGAAGAGATGTCACGTGCAACAATAAGAAATCGATCAGTCAATTGTTGGAGAAAGTGTTCAGTTTCTATTTGCATGTAGTGTTACGTTTGTCAATCAAAGAGATTTAAAGTTAGTGGGACAATCGCTTAAAGCGTTAATTAGCCTAAATATTTGTGAAAGGGGATCGCGAATTTTCATTAATTAATTCGTTTCTGGGGATGATAAGAATCGATTCTTGACCGTAATATTTTTGTATACATTTCGGAATTCCATTCATTCTCTTGTTTATCTTTCAAACTCCCCCACCCTGGAATGATATGAATGCTGGCTTCCCATATTGATCGTATACGTGTGGTGTTTACTTATGATCTATGGGGGCATTAAACAGAGTCCATAACTTTGATACATTACATCAAACTTATGGATTCTGTTGATGTATTTGGCTTAATAATTGAAAACAGGTATATTTGGGGGCAGAAAGGACCCCCTCTTTACCTATAAATTTAAAATACATAAAAATTTGCGATTTACTAATTGCCGAATAAATCAAACATTTTGTGTGTAGGAGTCGTGAAAGTAATTTTAATGCATCGATCTTATCCGAGCCGCTTGTCGGAATCGTACCGGGGACCCGCTGGTGACCGAGCGGTCTTCGTTCCCCGAACGCTGGGAGTTCGGTCGCGGGTTCTTGCTTTGCTCGGATGGACTGGCCACGTGGAGTTTTCTGGGTTTTCTTTATGTCTGTAACGCCTAAATAGGGGCTTTAAAAGACCTCCCGGAATGCATCCCCCTAGGCAGATTGCCCAAGTGTTGCATTGCCATAATTAAACAAACAAACAAACAGAACCATACTGTATAAATTGGTGTAATTCATAAAATAAGATTTATAAACTTTAAATATAAAAAAATTAGTAATAATTAATGTATGAAATTTATATTTAAGAAAATAAACTATAGAAAAATAATGCTTATCTATGATCTATAGCTACATTTCTCAACCGGTGGTCTGCAGACCCGTATGAGTCCACAGAACTCTGTAAGGGTTCACAGTCCATCGGAGTGTGGATTTTTAGGAGTGTGCGACATAAGAAACGTTGAGAACCACTGGTCTACAACAGTGTTTTTCAACTATTGGTCCACAGAAAAATATTTTACTGTACTGACGCTAGAGCAGTTGATTATGGATGAGATTTACATAATAATTTAGATCTCTAGATAAGCATAAATAAGCATAATTCATACTTGCATATAATTACTGGTTCGTGTAAAATATTCGTAATTTTATCAGTCTAAAATGAGGGAAAGGTTGAAGGTCTATAGCAATAAAATTTAAAATGTGATTATTTAAATTATTGTATACATGCAATTTATTAAAAAGATTATATTAAGTTTTAATAACTTGATCATGCCAGTAGTACAGTATTTTATATGGTATGGAATATTGAATTTTTTTATTTAGTCATCAGAATAAAAAACACTAAGCAGTTTACATTTAACAAAAATCAAGATACAAGATATTCTTAAACTTAATGTTGTTTAAGTTGGATCTGATGACGAGCCTTTAATGTGTCAAAAACGTTTAATCTAAAACAAAGATACTCCTCAAACTGTGGTTTTATGAATATGCAGAGTTGACTGCTTCCAAAAACTGTTCTAACTCTGTAGCTTGTTTCACTGTACACGGGATTGCTATTTTTGATGAATTTCCTTTACTGTGTTTGATTCGTGGCCATATCTTTCCTCTTTTTCTTTCATTATATCGTCATCTACATCCATCCCTTCCTTGGCTTCTCTGTTTCATTTCTTACGGTCTCCGTGATTGTGACTTACATCCCGAGATAACTTTCCTCCTTTTTTTTTGTGATGCGACCATCCGTCGTATTCTTCCTTCTTATATTTTGATGGAAACATCAATTATTTTAACGGTATGTCAGATGTACTCATTAATATTATTATTATTGAATTTACTTACATTTACAAAAACGGTTTTTAATACAACTAACATGTAAGCTTATATTGACAGGCTTGTACATAGTAATATTGATAATAATAAACTAAATAAATACACTCTATACCAATTCTGAAATGATAGAAATCATTTTTGGCATTTGAACCACAATATTTATGTTAATGTATTCTACACTAGTAGCAGGATCTAACTAAGTGCAGCTGGTACAGTGTCAGGGTTTGCACCAGCTGCCCTGGCATACCACACCAGCTGCACCTCAGGTGTATGTGTGGGACTAGTTGATTAATAACACATTGGCAAGGAAAAAAATAATTTTCAAATATTATGAACTTTGTATGCAGTAACTTAAATATAAACTTGGTTACTAACAATAATTCTTCTGCAGAAGCCTGTGACATTTTTGCGCTGTTAATGTTCACACGAAAACAAAAGAATTGTAATTATAACAACATGTAAACGGAATAAAAAACAAAATACATATTAGCTACAATATTTACTTTTTAATGAAATATTAATAATAGCCGAGAGAGATAGAGTGAGTGATAGAAAATTATCAGCACAGCCTATCAGCTATCTTGATGTGTGATATTTTCCTGTCAAAGATAGCATATGAAAGATTATCATTATGTAATCATTCAAGATACAAATTATTTAATCATACGAGATTAATTTTGTGCGATATATTTATTTAATAGGGTAACTTCTTATTTGAAAATTAAAATTTATATCTTAAATTTACCTATTTTTTTAATAAATAAAATAAAAATAACTATGGAAAATTTAAAAATAGGAAATATTACATGATAAAATTACTTTACATTAAATAAAATACCATTAAAAATTTAATAAAGGTAAATATAAGGGACTGCCATTGTTTATTAGTGTGTGAGAGTGATTGAAGGAGTTCAAACATTCACAAAGTCTAATTGTTGCTTTAGAAGAATGGAAAATTTATTATTTTACATTTTTTATTTCTTTTATACATTTTAGTAACTTATTTTTTATTATTTGATTATATTTTCAATGTTTTAAGAGACGAAAGTCTGGTTAGGAAATCAGAATCACTGTTCGTAGCTGTGCGCATGTAGCAAACCTATAAAGTTTAGCCTTTATGTAAAATAATAACAAGTATTTTTGTATCTGAGCATATCTAAACACAGAAAAGGTACAAGAAACTACAAATTTTTCAGCTTTGTTATAACCTTATGGGACTTCTGGTTCATATCTGTATGGTAAATATAAAGTATTTGGCATCCAAAGTATACTTTTGTGCATTTGGAACTAGAACTATTTAAAATGACGAGACAAAACCTTTCTCACTTGTTTCTAGCCGTTTATACACGAGTACGAACGTTTTCGGCCTTCTTAGACAGTATACCCGAAGAAGGCCGAAAACATTTGTACTCTATAAATGGCTAGAAACAAGTGAGAAAAGTTTTGTCTTAGTCATCCAAAGTATATCAAACTAAAAAAAAATTATTTTATATATTAAGAAATATAATAAATAAATTAATTATTAATTGACAATTTGTATTAATCATACTTTTTGATAAATATATGCTATAAATGTTTTAGTTATAATGAATGCAAATTACTCTGTTTAATAACTAATAAATATTGCATAAAATTGAAACATTAAACAGTTGAATTTAATGAATTTAAGCAGTAAAGTAACATAATTATAAGATATAAAATAGATTTACAAAAATTACATTTAATATGACCTTTTTTTTAAATATTACTTAATATCGTGGGGTCTGAAGAGGGGATCAAACGGAGATTGAGTAAAAAATTCCACAAATTATAATCATAAAAGTGATCGAGATATGTAACCTTACACCCTTGACCGTGGGACTGTTTGTCTTTTTGTGTATTCTATAATATACTTGTGGATAAAACACTTTAAAATATTAAATAATTAAATAAAAGTCTATTGATGTAATTATTTGTCTCTAAGCTTTCCACCTGGAAAATTTTCTGTGGATTCTCCTGTTAAATGTAATTTATATTTTAAAAGTATTTAATAACCATTATAAATTTATGTAGTTTTAAAACTTTTTATTATACAGTTTGCTGTTGTAAAATTTTGCGGTCTGATTTAATTATTGATAAAAGACTAGTTTTATGTATTTGGTCAGCACTTTCACTGTTTAGCTGTTGATAGAAACTAATAATTGGAAGTTTTGAAGTGTTTTCCCACAATACTTGAAATAAAACAGTTGGCTGCTCTTGCTTGACAATGCACTGACTCACAATGTCATTGACATTCGTTAGTTTTTTTGGCATCTAGTAGCATTGCGGTTATTAATTGTATTCCTATTTGCCTGATTTGCCATTTTATGTCTATTTTTATTCCCTAAATTAAGATTGTAAGTGAATAACACACATTTTATTGACATTGAAGACATTTAACGTCGTGACTAGCTCTTGGAGGTTATCACTAAGATACTTAAGTTTTATGATCATTGTAATAATAATTGTATAAATTAAATGTTAATTAGATAGAAACATAATTTATGAATGTAAGAAACATATAATTTATTCTTTTATAAATTTTCCAGGCATGAAGTGGGTAGCAGTATTTCTGTTTTGTGGATTTATTCCATTGTATGTGCAAGAAGAAAAACCTGGATGTAACGAAGCCGTCTGCGCTTCCATTGTTAGTAAATGCATGCTGACGCAATCGTGCAAGTGCGATAATAAAAATGCTACCTGTAGTCGAGATTGTTTCCATTGTCTTGATTATCTCTATTCAGAATGCTGTGTTTGTGTAGGTAAGTAAAAATATTTTGTGCAAATGCATTTAAAAAAACATTCAAGTATTGATGTGAATTATATCAATTAAATGACTCTTATGTACAATGGACACTAAAGACACTAAAATTAAAACATTGAATATTAAAATAATAAAATAAAGATAGCTCCTAATTATATTGTGCTTTTATCACACATTCTTTTAATAAAAAAATTATTCTTGTTCCATTATACCTTATTGTATCGTATGAAGATAATAATTTGAATTTAAATTGATTTATAAATATTTTTAATACATCTTCTATAAGTAATCTTTCTGTAAAAATTCAGATTGCGATTAAAAAAAAAACAGTTACTCATTCAGATAGAAATATCCAATTACTGCAAAATTCAGCATTCAGCTATCCTGTCTTTACTGTTGAGTGGTGCACCATTCCCACTACTGGTGTGCTGATCTGCAGAACGTTTCGTATGACAGTTACCCCTAGTAGTTATGCAAGGAACATCTCTGACACATGTATTGCCTTCATGGCAAGGCTGCAAACAGTCATTTTCCAGCAAGATAATACTTGGCTGTACAGCTTGAATTTTTTAAGGAATGTCACATTGCCACACTCCTTAGCCTGCCTGGTTTCCAGACTGTCACCAATCAAATGTTTATGGAACCAGATGAAATGCCAATTTCTGCTATCTATGAATATGAAGGATCTGGGGCAGCAGTTGCAATATCTGCGGGCGAATCTATTGCAAGATAGTATATAGTATCTATAAGCTGCCGTATCTGACCACATTGTCATATCTAGGTAAGAGGAGGTCCTATGAAGTACTAAAAGTGTTTTAATTTGTGCTGTTATTTAAGAAAATCGTCCCTTTGCTATAATATTGTGCTAATAATCATTTATTACTGTTGTCATTACATTTACACAAAGTTTCATTTTGTTTCTTTTCACTTAATTGTTTTTTTATTGGTGAGTGTGTTGGATATTGGTGGGTGTGTGATGTCATTGACAGCTGACAATGAATCAGATATTTCATTATCCGATTCATCGACAGCTGCTAAACAAAGAATTAAGATTTAAACTTTTTTAAATTAAATTTTATCATTATTATAATTTAATTTAATCAGTTTAATCTAATTTATTTTATATCTTAATTTTTCCATTATCTTGTATGCATTATTTAGACACAAATTTTAAAATTTTTAAATCACATTTATTACCTTGAAACACTTTAATATTAGCTACTTAGAATGGATTAATTTCAAGAATATTAGAATTATCAAAAAATAATTTTTAACAAATAAACATGGTTATTTTGTTCATAGATTTGATATTGATTTTAAATTCATTTACTATACAGGGACTTCCAAAAAGAATGCTACCATTCTAAATTATTGTAATTGTGTAAATTATTATCTGAGAACATCATAATGTACATTAAAACATTGGACACAAATTTTTCTTACACTCACTATGGCATATCCATTGTCACTCCTCCTGTGGCAGGCAGAATTCTACATTTGCATATTTCTCGTGTTACATGATAATGAGTTATTCAGACCTTTTACGATAAGTTTTGCTTTCACAAAACACAAAATGTTTTCTGTATTAAGGAGTTGCCATTTTCATTTATGGCACTTTCTACAGGTAATAGATGATTAGATGTTTGAATACAGATGGGGAATGAAAGTCAGATGGTTACTATATTGATTGCTATACATCACATACTTCTCGGATAATAATAATTACAATAATTTAAAATAGTAGCATGTTTTTTTGGAAGACTCTGTATTTACAAAACAACTTAATTACAGTTGACCCCCTATAACACTGTTGATAATTCTGTTTTATATGAATTCCACGTTGTACAAGTCACTTAGATTTTACAAATACATGTGCCGGGCTGTGAACGGCTCACATATTTGTAAAATCTAAGTGACTCGTACAACATGGAATTCATATAAAATGGAATTATCAACAGTGTTATAGGGGGGGTTGACTGTATAACAATTATCAGTGTTTGCAATCTGTGAACACCCTCGAGCACACTTAATGAACCTTTATCTCTGATAATGCTTAAATTTTGGGAACAAACATCTTCGGCCTCACCCGAGGTCTGCTTCAGGTTAAATGAAAATGGAATTCCAAACTTAGAACGACTTTTTTTAGGTTTTTTTAGATCGCGGGTGAGGCCGAAAACATTTGTTCCCAAAATTTAAGCATTACCAGAGATAAAGGTTCATTAAGTGTACTCGAGGGTGTTCATTAATACCAGTAATCAGGTTAGAAATTGTGATTTGCAATCTATATTTCAAAATTGTCTTCAAAATTACTGAATAACAAACCAACTCCATATCTATATATATATATATAAAAATGAACATGTATGTCCCTATATTTCACTTTTTTTGCCAAAACTACACATCGCACGTGAATGGTGTTTGTATGTGGTGGTAGCCCCAAGTCTCCATTCGTGCATAGGGGTGGTTGCGTCTCGATAGCTATAAGGGTGCGGGAGATATGAGGCTAAAAGTAGTTGAAAGTGGCTGTCTATTTCGAATGTTTTGTTCGATTTTTTCGAATTTGTTCGAATTAAATTTGAACATAAAATTCGAATTGGTTCGATTATAGAACGATTGAAAGCGTTCCAGAAACGTTGAAATTTGTTCGGTTGACTAAACGTAAAAATTCTCTAATTAGTCTGGAAACGGGGGACTTAATTCTTGCATTCTGTGAAAACGGGTAAGATTAGCTATAATGTAATTATCTTAATCTTTACTATCGTTACTTTTTGCCAAGCGAAGCAGGTCCTTGCAGCTAGATTCTAGATTACTTAGAAAAACAGTCTTTTATATATATAAAAAAACTATACTATTACATACAAATAAAAACCCAGCGAAGCAGGATCTTGCAGCTAGTCATAAATAAAATGTTACATTTCTGCTTACAGGAGTCTTTAAAATGTTTTTTCTTACTTATAACAGACTGCTTTCAGACATTTTCTATCCATCTCCGGAATCAAAAACCAGAATTCCAGGAAATTTGAGGTTTTTGACTTTCATGATGGACAGGTACTGGTACATCCAAAAGCACTTAGTTTATTACAGAAAAGAAATGATATTTTAATGATATTTTACTCCTGTAAGCAGAAAGGTAATGTTTCTTCACCATTACATTGCAAAATAATATATTTCACTTCAAATGTCACAAACGTTTCCAAAAGAAAGAAATCAAAATACATATTCTAAAAGTTTTTGAAATGAAATAATCAGTTGAACTAAAACTAATTTCATAAATAAATTGAAAATAAATTAATTGGCAAATATTTATTGTTTTATTAAGAAAATTACTAATGGATTTTTACCTGATTAAGGTTAAATTTTTATTTCTAAGTTATTCCTACTAAAATTTTATTAGATTATAGACTAAATTTAAGTTATTAAAGTTACTTAATAGCTTAAATTTAACATGTAGCCTGATAGAAAAAATTAGACAATAATTTTAAAAAAGCATTGAAAGGAATTTCATCACCAGCTGAATCTCAATTAACAATTTTTTATTTTATCAAATTAACGATGAAAAAATGATTTTGAATTATTAATAGATTTTTAGTCTTGATGTCACAAATTTATTTTACCTTCTGATTATTTTGCTAATAAATGCTTACATCAGAGATGACACGTCATATGTAATAATGCTAAATCATCCGTACGGATTAGTTTAAAGTAGTTGAGTAGTCTGTATAAATTTGAATTTCTTCTTATAATGTTGAATCTAAAGAACTCTGATTCGGTAATTTGACAAAGGAAAAGCAATTATGCCGTTAGCTGTATAACAGATTGCCACAACCATTCTGGCTCAAATCCAACATTTTTTATTAATCAGTAATTAATTGCAACTATTAAACTTGTCAGTTGACATTTGGCTGTTCATAATCTAAATTTATATAAATTATCTTATAATTGACTTATTTTTTAGAAATATTAATTACGACTGAAAATCTCTGTACATCTTAAATATTAAAACTTGTATTTAAGTGTCAAATTAACTATGCTTAAATGATATAAGTAAACTATGATTTTATTGGAATAAACTTTGAAAATCAAAGGGCTCTAAACCTTTTCTGGCTCATTTACTACCACTTAATTACGGTACTTCTAAATGAACAACACTATACTTTAACATTTTACCGATATTATAAATAAAAATTAATTTACAATTTCTAATAAAATTGTAAATATTTTCTAACTCTTTATTCATCTTCTGAAAATTTCAATATGCCGATTTGTTTGAGAAGAGTTTTGCAATCATGGCAACCAGAAATATAACATTTGCTAGCATCTTTAGTTAATTGTTTTATCATAACTATCGAAACATTATAATAAAATAGCACAGTTTATATGGTAATATTGATTATAACATAAAAATGTTGTTGTATTCAGCTGTTGTTTAATTTTAATGTAACAGTAATACAGCTTTCTTCAAATTAACTTTTTAAGAGCATTGTAAATCTAGATGCTGTTATTAAAGTTGAAATTTAAGATTACGTATAATGAAAAAAGCATTGCTAATAAACTTTATTTAGCCGAAAGTGGCTAACTTGTATCTGCTCCTCTAACAGATCTGTGTTCGAATTCATGTCATGTTTCCAGAGATATGACTCGAACTTCCGGAGAATTTTCAGGACTAAATTCTCGGGAAATTTCGAAATATTTCTTGCCTCGAGTTTCAGAATAAACAGCTCAATACGCAAAACTTTTATACATAAATTTACAAATCTGAAACAGAAAAATGTCAAATTTATTATCAGTAAAATCAGTATTGTATTGTACACATAATTGATATTGTATTGTATTTTTAAATGAATAATATGACTAAACCAAATGTGACAAAATATCCACAAGTAATAGCCATACTTATTATATTTACTCACTCATTCATCAAAGTTGGTTTGTTTGTACAGTTGTCCTTCTTATCAGGTGGTTTGTTAGTTAAATATGCACAAAGATTCAGAGTAGAACATATGCTTATATATATAAGCATATGCTCTAGTTATATATATGTAAGCAATAAATAAATAATATTTTATTTATAATACATTATTAGAAATAAAATATTATTTAAAAATGTATTGTAATAAGTGCAAGCCTTGCTACAGGAGAAAAACTTATTTCATGCTAACTTAGTACAAATGAAATTACAAGGTTCTACTTTATAACATCATTTTTTTGATTTTACTTAGAAACAAAATGCGTTTGAGTTTATATACTCTAACAGGTCTTATATTTTAGCCTTTACAGTTATTACATTCATTACAAGTATTTATATCTTGAAAAAAATCATGTAAATAATTTTGATATTTCTTGTATTCAGCTAGTAATAATGTAATTAATACCAAAGTTAACTCATGCAATTAACTTTGTGAAATATTTACTTCTAAACTTCACAATATAAAGGACTTGGCAATCAATTAACTTATGTAACATCTAGATTTGTATTTGATTGCAAAAATGCAATTTCTGCAATCAATGGCATCATTAGTGTTGCCACCAGGCCGGTTTTCACTCGGACAAGCCAGTATTTAAATTCACAGTCCGGATTACTTATTAATTTGTTCTGTTTTCGTAGAAATTGTGAAATTATGATGATACAAAATAAATTTATAAAAATATTTGGGAGTATTTTATTTTAATGGTTATAAACTTTAACTTTACACCACACCCAAACTTAAAAAGAGTTTTTATCAAAAATTTGTTTTTATTTTGCTAAAAACGTTTACGCGATGAGATGTAACGGAAGTTATTTTTAGAATCTGTGATATTTAAAACATATAATTTAGCAAAAATATTCCATGCAGCTGGAAAAAATTTTTTTTGCAGACCTGTGTAATTGGTCCATATAGAGATATGAAAACTTTTAGAAGGATGCAAAATAGCTATAAACAGTCATCCTTTGTTATCCCTTGTTATCAAGGGATTGATTTCAGGACCTCCTGCTGATATCAAAACCCAATTATCTTGTATAAAAGGTGTAGTATTTATATATAACCTATGCATATGCTTTAAATCATATTTAGATTACATATAATACCTAAAATAATATGAATACTATGTAAATATTTATTAAACTGTTTAGAAAATAATAAGAAAAAGTCTGTATGTGTTCAGGACAGATGCCATCATAGGTAGTGTTGCCACTTTTTCAAAATTGCTGACCCGGATGGCAGGTCAGGTTTGTTCGAACAGAAGTCCCTGACACATGCGCAATGTTATTTTACCATGCGAAGAATATTGTGCATGCCAGTTCTAAACCAGTTAGGGACTTGTGTAGGAGCAATTAAAATTAAGAAATGAAATAACTTAGCTTTAAAGAGCTGAGAAGAAAGAAAAAAAAAAAAAAGAAAAGAAACCGATAGGTTGTGACATATGTTGGCATAAGATGGCGAATTAAGTTCTGGTGAAAGTGTGAAGTCTTTCACTGTTAAAATAAAGTAAATTTATAAAAATATTTGCTAGTACTTTGTTTCATCATAATTTCACAATTTATACGAAATCCCGGACAAAATGAATAGTTAACCGGACAATGAATTAAAAACCAGACAGGTGGCAACACTAATCATAGGCCGTAATTACATAGTACAGATCAGCAACAACATAATATTTTCTTTCTTTCAACATTTAAAGATTGATTTTGTTTAATGACCTAAAAGAGAAATGCATAGAATAAAACAGATTATTTAAAGCATAAGCGAGTTCATGTTTTTGGAACTTTCTGGAATTTTTTAATAGTTTTTATATGTGGTTGGTTGAATCCATGCATATGGAACCTGAAGATACATGGCCAACTGTAATTATTTGTACAGTAATACCCCGAACTTATGCGATAGGTGGGACCGAGTGATAACTGTGTAAGTCGAATTTGCGTAAGTCGGGGTATAATTTCACAATTTGTATAAAATCCAAATCGGATGTATGTAAGCTAATAAATGTTCTCGTTAATCTTATCTCGTCTTTTGATTCGTTCACGGTTACAAGAAATCACCACATATTGTCTCTTGAGTTTCCGTAGATATAACAAAGACAGAAAAAAATAAATTGTAGCTATGTGTTGATTCCACGCGACACGTCCGAACATGTAAGCTGAATTATGGTGTGTGGAGAGTGAGTAATCAAGAGTTGCGTGGCGCTCAAACAAAAGATGAATCGACGAGATTGAAAATTGCGTAACTCCGGGTTTGCGTAAGTCGAGGTATTACTGTATTGCATGTTGCTCCTTCTGTCATTTTTTTTTGGACCTGCTATTGGTCAAACTAAACATTTAAGTCCAGATTATAGAAAATTAGCCAAGACTCTGATACATTAGTCATCAGATTTAACTCATAATGGGCATAAAAAAGACCCTTTTCATGTTCACAAGACAAAAATATAAAATAAAATAGGATAAATAACTGAGTTTAATTATTATGATTATAAGAATTTTATAGAACAGTTTAATATATTTGAAATTCTATGAAGAAAGAAAAAAATCTCGAAATGTTCAGGATAAATTAATTTCTCAGCTTTTTCTTGCATATTTAAGCAATGAATATTGAAATAAATTTTTCAATCTAAGTTTTTCCTTTATTAAAACATAATTTTCAATTAAAAAGAATTTTCATGCATTTAGATTCATACCTTTAAGATTTCTTTTCTTTTCTATTTGGTAACAGATTATATATATTTTTTAAATCTGTAATTTGAAAGAATTTCTCAAATATTTTCTAAATTAAAATTTCTTAATTCTGCGTAACTATTTTCGGTGATATTAATGCATTGATAGAACCTTATAGTTTACTAAATGTAAGCATAAAGTCTTAAATAAATTTATTACGTTTACTTAACTAGATATGTGTCCAAAACCAAATTTGACTGATACGGAATTGGGTCAAAAATCTCACGTTGAGGAATTTTCGGAACCTGTTCCCGAGCTGTTTATTGCATTGACAGAGGAAAAGGATCCTCATTCGCGATGGATATCTTATACTTTTCCAGTGCATTTTTCACTTGTTACGTCTGTGGGAAATGAACATGTCACACTTTCTCCAGGTAAGGAATTTCTTAAATTATATAATAAATCATGTTAAGATAGAAAACAGCAGCTGCCAAATGATGGATTTGAGTTACAAGTAACTGTCTTAACACTGTCAACTTAGCAGTTGCTGACACTTTTAATATTTAGATGATGGTAGCATCAAAACATTCAGTATCTCTGCCAACTTTCAGAATCATCAAATACAATTTAATAAAAGTATAATTTTGAGTTTTAAAATCCCAAGACAGTCAAAATAATCATTAGTCGGATCTAAATTACAGTTGACCCCCCTATAAGATAGAGATACGTTCCATTCTTTAGGAATCCGATTTCTTACGAATCCTTCCAATCACAACTCGACACGTATCAAGTTTACGGACTACAGCTGTTTGAAAGATTTTCTTCCATAAAATTAATCGATTCTAGACTAATCCGACTCAACATTTCCAAAATACGTATATNTTGTACAAGTCACTTAGATTTTACAAATACATGTGCCGGGCTGTGAACGGCTCACATATTTGTAAAATCTAAGTGACTCGTACAACATGGAATTCATATAAAATGGAATTATCAACAGTGTTATAGGGGGGGTTGACTGTATAACAATTATCAGTGTTTGCAATCTGTGAACACCCTCGAGCACACTTAATGAACCTTTATCTCTGATAATGCTTAAATTTTGGGAACAAACATCTTCGGCCTCACCCGAGGTCTGCTTCAGGTTAAATGAAAATGGAATTCCAAACTTAGAACGACTTTTTTTAGGTTTTTTTAGATCGCGGGTGAGGCCGAAAACATTTGTTCCCAAAATTTAAGCATTACCAGAGATAAAGGTTCATTAAGTGTACTCGAGGGTGTTCATTAATACCAGTAATCAGGTTAGAAATTGTGATTTGCAATCTATATTTCAAAATTGTCTTCAAAATTACTGAATAACAAACCAACTCCATATCTATATTAAATGTAATTTATATTTTAAAAGTATTTAATAACCATTATAAATTTATGTAGTTTTAAAACTTTTTATTATACAGTTTGCTGTTGTAAAATTTTGCGGTCTGATTTAATTATTGATAAAAGACTAGTTTTATGTATTTGGTCAGCACTTTCACTGTTTAGCTGTTGATAGAAACTAATAATTGGAAGTTTTGAAGTGTTTTCCCACAATACTTGAAATAAAACAGTTGGCTGCTCTTGCTTGACAATGCACTGACTCACAATGTCATTGACATTCGTTAGTTTTTTTGGCATCTAGTAGCATTGCGGTTATTAATTGTATTCCTATTTGCCTGATTTGCCATTTTATGTCTATTTTTATTCCCTAAATTAAGATTGTAAGTGAATAACACACATTTTATTGACATTGAAGACATTTAACGTCGTGACTAGCTCTTGGAGGTTATCACTAAGATACTTAAGTTTTATGATCATTGTAATAATAATTGTATAAATTAAATGTTAATTAGATAGAAACATAATTTATGAATGTAAGAAACATATAATTTATTCTTTTATAAATTTTCCAGGCATGAAGTGGGTAGCAGTATTTCTGTTTTGTGGATTTATTCCATTGTATGTGCAAGAAGAAAAACCTGGATGTAACGAAGCCGTCTGCGCTTCCATTGTTAGTAAATGCATGCTGACGCAATCGTGCAAGTGCGATAATAAAAATGCTACCTGTAGTCGAGATTGTTTCCATTGTCTTGATTATCTCTATTCAGAATGCTGTGTTTGTGTAGGTAAGTAAAAATATTTTGTGCAAATGCATTTAAAAAAACATTCAAGTATTGATGTGAATTATATCAATTAAATGACTCTTATGTACAATGGACACTAAAGACACTAAAATTAAAACATTGAATATTAAAATAATAAAATAAAGATAGCTCCTAATTATATTGTGCTTTTATCACGCATTCTTTTAATAAAAAAATTGTTCTTGTTTCATTATACCTTATTGTATCGTATGAAGATAATAATTTGAATTTAAATTGATTTATAAATATTTTTAATAAATCTTCTATAAGTAATCTTTCTGTAAAAATTCAGATTGCGATTAAAAAAAAAACAGTTACTCATTCAGATAGAAATATCCAATTACTGCAAAATTCAGCATTCAGCTATCCTGTCTTTACTGTTGAGTGGTGCACCATTCCCACTACTGGTGTGCTGATCTGCAGAACGTTTCGTATGACAGTTACCCCTAGTAGTTATGCAAGGAACATCTCTGACACATGTATTGCCTTCATGGCAAGGCTGCAAACAGTCATTTTCCAGCAAGATAATACTTGGCTGTACAGCTTGAATTTTTTAAGGAATGTCACATTGCCACACTCCTTAGCCTGCCTGGTTTCCAGACTGTCACCAATCAAATGTTTATGGAACCAGATGAAATGCCAATTTCTGCTATCTATGAATATGAAGGATCTGGGGCAGCAGTTGCAATATCTGCGGGCGAATCTATTGCAAGATAGTATATAGTATCTATAAGCTGCCGTATCTGACCACATTGTCATATCTAGGTAAGAGGAGGTCCTATGAAGTACTAAAAGTGTTTTAATTTGTGCTGTTATTTAAGAAAATCGTCCCTTTGCTATAATATTGTGCTAATAATCATTTATTACTGTTGTCATTACATTTACACAAAGTTTCATTTTGTTTCTTTTCACTTAATTGTTTTTTTATTGGTGAGTGTGTTGGATATTGGTGGGTGTGTGATGTCATTGACAGCTGACAATGAATCAGATATTTCATTATCCGATTCATCGACAGCTGCTAAACAAAGAATTAAGATTTAAACTTTTTTAAATTAAATTTTATCATTATTATAATTTAATTTAATCAGTTTAATCTAATTTATTTTATATCTTAATTTTTCCATTATCTTGTATGCATTATTTAGACACAAATTTTAAAATTTTTAAATCACATTTATTACCTTGAAACACTTTAATATTAGCTACTTAGAATGGATTAATTTCAAGAATATTAGAATTATCAAAAAATAATTTTTAACAAATAAACATGGTTATTTTGTTCATAGATTTGATATTGATTTTAAATTCATTTACTATACAGGGACTTCCAAAAAGAATGCTACCATTCTAAATTATTGTAATTGTGTAAATTATTATCTGAGAACATCATAATGTACATTAAAACATTGGACACAAATTTTTCTTACACTCACTATGGCATATCCATTGTCACTCCTCCTGTGGCAGGCAGAATTCTACATTTGCATATTTCTCGTGTTACATGATAATGAGTTATTCAGACCTTTTACGATAAGTTTTGCTTTCACAAAACACAAAATGTTTTCTGTATTAAGGAGTTGCCATTTTCATTTATGGCACTTTCTACAGGTAATAGATGATTAGATGTTTGAATACAGATGGGGAATGAAAGTCAGATGGTTACTATATTGATTGCTATACATCACATACTTCTCGGATAATAATAATTACAATAATTTAAAATAGTAGCATGTTTTTTTGGAAGACTCTGTATTTACAAAACAACTTAATTACAGTTGACCCCCTATAACACTGTTGATAATTCTGTTTTATATGAATTCCACGTTGTACAAGTCACTTAGATTTTACAAATACATGTGCCGGGCTGTGAACGGCTCACATATTTGTAAAATCTAAGTGACTCGTACAACATGGAATTCATATAAAATGGAATTATCAACAGTGTTATAGGGGGGGTTGACTGTATAACAATTATCAGTGTTTGCAATCTGTGAACACCCTCGAGCACACTTAATGAACCTTTATCTCTGATAATGCTTAAATTTTGGGAACAAACATCTTCGGCCTCACCCGAGGTCTGCTTCAGGTTAAATGAAAATGGAATTCCAAACTTAGAACGACTTTTTTTAGGTTTTTTTAGATCGCGGGTGAGGCCGAAAACATTTGTTCCCAAAATTTAAGCATTACCAGAGATAAAGGTTCATTAAGTGTACTCGAGGGTGTTCATTAATACCAGTAATCAGGTTAGAAATTGTGATTTGCAATCTATATTTCAAAATTGTCTTCAAAATTACTGAATAACAAACCAACTCCATATCTATATATATATATATAAAAATGAACATGTATGTCCCTATATTTCACTTTTTTTGCCAAAACTACACATCGCACGTGAATGGTGTTTGTATGTGGTGGTAGCCCCAAGTCTCCATTCGTGCATAGGGGTGGTTGCGTCTCGATAGCTATAAGGGTGCGGGAGATATGAGGCTAAAAGTAGTTGAAAGTGGCTTTCTATTTCGAATGTTTTGTTCGAATT